TGTTTAATGTTCCACTTTACTTCTTTGATTGTGATTTCTTTCCAGTAATTTGTACTAGATGTGTTTTTAATTTTATCTTTGATGTTGTATGTTTGTCTTGTTACTTGTTCATGGAAAGGTAGTGTATCGGGTGGTTTGAAATACACTTCATTTTGAAAATAATCAGCAAATAGGTTTGCTTTTTCATAATCTGTTGTTGCTGTAGTATTTATATATTTCATCATCTTCGGATACGTTTGTTTGACTCTTTTATTGTAAAATTTACGGACCGTAAACCAAACTGATGCTGAATACATTTTCTTTTGACATAAAGACGACATTAACTTGTTGAAATTATTTTTTCTATCATTTCTAAGTGAATTTGATAAAAGCACCTTGGAGATATAATATTGTTTCTTTTCATAATCATCTCCATTCTTTTTCCATCTGCGATAAGCTTGATGTTTGAATTTAATTAATCGTTTTGTTGCTTCACTTGGTGCATATCTTGAATTAATTTGTTTAGATGTTGGTATAGTCTGTTGTGTTGCTAACGTAATACTATCAGTGATGAACGACTTGTATTCTTCTATATCTGCTGTTGTATTAAGTAGACGAGTGTTGTTCCATAGCATTAGATGTTCATCTACTTTCTGTCTAAACTTTGCCCACTTCACTTCTTGAAAATTGTAGGATATTCTAGGTGAAGTTGGTTTTGGTTCAGCTCCTAATGTAATTTCAAAAGTTAATGGCTTATGTCCACTTAATGAACCAAATGGAGGATGAGTTTCGACATTTGTAATATATGAAATCAGCGGTTGATTGGCTAGTATCCAATCTATTTTTTCTTCATAATTATTTCTTTCATAAGTTGGACTATCATCTTCTATACAATTTAAGAAACCTTCATTTAAAAGTTCTTGTAATTGCCGTCCTTTTGCATTTGTTTTCTTCGATCCCATCTGTAATAATGCTGCATTAAGATCGCCAACAATAAGACAATTACTATTTATTGAGTATAAATCATGGAAGATGCTAAGATTGATCTTAGCTGTTGGTGGAACATAAATGGAGGCGATTAAGATTGATTTGATTGTTTTTGTTCCAATTTGGACTGCTAATATTTCATTTTTTTCAATTGTTTTGTTAAAAATTTCATAACATTTTATATGTTCTTTTATTGCTAGCAATACACCACCACCGGATTTATCTATTCTATCATTTCTATAAATGTTATAACCTTTGAGAAAGAAAGGTCGATCTTTTTCAAGATTAGATTCATTTATCGAAATAATATCATAGTGAGAATATCTTGCAAGGAGTTCGTCTTTGTGTTTTCTAATAGAAGTAATATTAATATGACAAACATTAATCATCATATGTTATATAATATAAATTTGGGTCTAATGAGCTGTTTGGAGAACAAATTTTCTTGATTGTTTTTGTAATTGTTTTTGGTTTCTGTGTCGGTTTTGCTGATGTTGCATTTGCTGTAGATTGAGGTTTCGTTGATATATCATTCGTTGATTTTGGTGGTTTTGCCGAAGTTTCATTTGGTGAAGCCGTTGCATTCTTGTATTGTTTCTCGGGTTTTCCAATATCTGCATCTTGTTGTTGTGCATTATTATTGTCGATTAAATCTTGAATAATTTTATCATTTTCGGGTTCTGTTTCAGTTGTTTCTTCTTCAATAACATTTTCTCCTGATGCAAGAGATTTTTCTATTTCAATAATCTTTCGATAGAGTGTTGTAAATAATCGGTTAGTTGTTTCTTCTATAATCTTTTCCATTTTGGCAGTAAGAACCTGTATTATCTCTTCAATGATTTCATTGTGTAGATAATCTTGATGTCGTTGATTGCCATTATGTAAAAAAGGAAATTCGACTGCATTGTTTGGATCAGGAGCTTTTGTTGTTACTTGTGTTGTTGTTGATGCATATTGATTTATCATACTTTGAATTCTTTTTTCTTGTTCTTTAAATTTTGGACAATCGTGTGATGTTGCTAAATGATCACCTTGACAGTTACAACATTTTGCATTTTGTTGTAGATCATTACATTGGTCAACGTGATGATTTCCACCACATCGAGCACATACTTGTTGTTTAGTTGTACAATATTTTGCTATATGGTTATATTGAAGACATAAATAACATTGCACGGGGTTCTTATTTTGCATTGCAGGTTCAGCTGGAAAATACATTGAATCTATTTTTAAACCAGTTTGTACAAATGCATTTCTATTTTGAGAATCATTAGAAATAATTTTAATTGTTCGGGTTGGTGTATTTCTATCTTTGGTTGTTAATCTAACAACACTTTCAACATTAAATCCTGTATCCATTAATGCATCAGGAATTCTGGATTCTGGAATTTCAATGTCAACTCTCTTGACGAAAGCAACTTTTTCCGTATTTTTAATTCTTTGAATTGATCGAGGTACAAATATTTTAACTGAAGTTTGACCATTTGCAGCAAGGATTTGAGTAAAATCATTTAATAACCGATTAAATGAATTAACATCTGCAGCATATAATGTAAATATTCCTGAACGACTGAGTTGAATATCGCACACTCTAACATCAGTCATATGTTTTTTGATCAAATCATTTAATTCAAGTTTTTTTAATCGTGCGCCCTCTATAATTAGAGGTGCAATGGTGAATTTTGATTGGCTTGAAGTAGATGTTGATAAATTTTTTATCAGTTGTGTATCATTAGTTGTTGTCGTAAGTTGTCGTGCTTTATCACGACTCTTACTACGTTTATTCGAGCCACCACCTCCTCTTTTTGGAGGCATTGCCAAAAACCCACCAAAAACGATTAAATAAAATTAACTTTTTGTGTTAAATTGGGTTAAGGGTTAAAGAAAAATATGAAAATACCAGAGAGTATGTGAAGGAAACGAAAGGAATGCGTGTATACTCGGAGCAGAGCGAAAAGACGAATGTATTAGTTCTTCGATCAGTTTATGATCAGATTTATCATGTTTGTCCGTGAAATCGAGAATGATTGAAGAAAGTTCATTTCGATCTGATGACATCATTTGTTGATTTATAATGTTAATGTTTAGTGTCTTACTTTGTCGATAGATCGTGTGAGAATTGATCTCGTTCCGTTAGTCGAAATCGGATCGTAATCTTTTATTTGTTCTAAGTGTTTGAAAACCTGATTTACGAATTGGACAAGATGATCACTCATCATCCATTTTATTATGTGAAACACAATTCACACGAATTATATGTTTCGTTCACTACAGAAGAGAAAAATACATCCTACCACTATATCGGCGAGAGGACGAATGCGAATACCATTGGATCGAATAGGATCCAACAGGGGGAATTTGATCTGGGTAGGTTCGGCATTTCCGATAGGGAACTTTTTATAGTTCTTTATCATCGTGCAGAGCTTTTAAGGATTTTTCACTGTGATACAGAACTATAAATTACTTCTGCATGTGCTGCAGAACCAAAAATAATTCTGCAAAACTCCTTGATTTTTTTTCGTAGTACGAGAGGCGAAACCTAGTTCGAATGGAACAGTCAGAATAAAATTATGACAATAATGTATGAAAACAGAAGGTGTATTCAGCATCTATATGTTTTACATTT